CCCCCCCCCCCCCCCCCCCCCCCCCCCCCCCCCCCCCCCCCCCCCAAGGCGCTGCATGGGTGATGTAACGCACCGCTCTGCCGTGCGGTCGGTTTAATGAATTAGGAACAAATAAATTAGAAATGATGCGGAAGGGGAGTGGGGGGAAAAGGGAGGAAAGAGGGGGAGGTCGCGACCGCGGCTCACCTGTCCGTACACCTGGATGGGCTCCTGCGCGGCACGGCGGCTCCGCGGGGGTTCATCGGGTGCCTCCGGAGGGACGCGTAGCAACAGCGAGGAGCCGCCCCCCGCCGCCCCTTCGGACAGAAGCAGCAGCAGCAGCAGCAGCAAGGCGAGGCGGTGCGGGGACAGAACGGCACCGTTCGCCCCGCCGCTGCACCGCGTCGCCATGTTCGTGGCGCGGGGCCGGGCCGCGCCGTGCGGGACCGATGGAGCCGCGCCGCCGCCCGGTCAGAATGTGCAATGTGCTCCGCCGCGCCGCCCCGCGACCGCCCCCAGAACGAGGGGTTGTGCCCCACCCGGGCCCGCCCCCCATTCCACGCTTCATCATCCCGGGGGTAAACCGGGCCCGAGGGATGCGGGCGTCGGGGAAAGTCCGACGTCATCGATAGGCTTAGCGGAAAGGGTGTCGGAGCAGCCGTTACATGCGAGGAAAAAGAAAAAGATTGAAGAAAGAGCGAGTGGAAAAAAGAGCGAGACTTAAATGTCGGATGTAAGAAACTCAGCGCTCAGAAATCGGCAGTTTAAAAAAAAATACGGAAAAAAGAGGTACGCGGTCCTAAGTTGGCAATCTGAAGTGATGGGAGGTCGGTGGTAAGAAAAGCAGTGATAAGGAAGAGGCGGTCAAAGGGAAGCTGTCTGGAGCGGTGATAGAAATGAGCACTGCAAAGTACACAGTGTAAAATCAACAGTGAAAATCGGCAAAGTACACAACCAAAAATCAACAGTGAAAGATAAACATTAAATAAAAAAAAAAAAAAAAGAAAAAAAAGAAGAAAAAAAAAAAGGCTTTCCAGCCAAAGCCGTTACAAAGTCTGTGCATCACAGGGATTACCGTGTTTGCCAACCTTGTAACCCATCTGCATGGTGGAGGTGATGTATGGTGACATGGGGACAGTGCAGACCACCTTTGGGGGGCTCAGCTCCCTGCATTTTGCTGGCTGTAACAGCTGAAACATTGCCCAGAGTGTTCCCAGAGGTACCTTTTGCCTAGAAACCTAGTTAGCGTGTTTCAATTATGGAGCCAATACAATTAGAAGCCCTCCTAATAAAGCTCTTAGCTGTCTCGATTCAGGGTAATGTCCCCCTGGAGGACCACAGGTCACGGGGGTGAGAGTTGATAGATGTTTGTGCACAGATCCGTGGAGCTGCTGTCTGCAGGTGGGACCAGCAGGGACCCAACACACAACAGCATCCCTTCCCCAAAGTGCTGCCCCAGTCCCCAGGAAAAAAAAAAAGAAGAAAAGAGAAAAAAAAAAAGAAGAAACTGATTCAGAGTAGAATAGGAACTGGTGAGAAATGAGGAACCGGCCCAAGGATGGTTTGCTCTTTGTGTGAGCACTTGCTGTCCAGTCTGAGCCCCAGGGTTGTTCTTGGGGAGGCTGAATGTTGCAATTCCTCTGTTTACAGCCTCAAGTAAGAGCTGTTTGCTGGAGAATGCCCCATCCCTGGAGGCATTCAAGGCCAGGCTGGATGTGGCTCTGGGCAGCCTGGTCTGGTGGTTGGTGACCCTGTACATAGCAAGGGGTTGGAACTGGATGAGCATTGTGGTCCTTTTCAACCCAGGCCATTCCATTCTATGATATGAGAAGGAGATATGAATGTATTGTCATGTTCAAGGGAGCTTTTCCTGGGCAGACTGGCCTTTTTTAAGTCCCAAAAGTACATGAGTCTCCCCATCCAGCACTGCTGCCTGCCTGCAGAGGAAGGTTGTGTTGTGTTGAAATGACCCCATTCATAGAGGGACTGGGAAGGCCACAGGGAGCAGGAGGTTCTTCTCCTAGACAGGAGGTGTATTGGTTTGGGTATGTCAGTGGCAGACCCCATTTTGTCCTCAAGCATCTTCCAAAGAGACAGCACACGGGAGGTTTGTGGGCAGATGTGCAGGCAGTGCAGTGACCCCCTATGGGCTGTCTGCTGAGAATGAATGGTGTGCAGGGATACAGGAACCCTTCCTCAGCTGTGCTGGGCACATATCACATGTATGGTATGGCATGATACGTCCCTTCCCCTGGTCTGCATTCCCTTTGGTGTAGCAATAGCTGCACTGAAGAATATACCTGATTCTGGGGCCATATCACAACAACCCCAGTAAAAAGCTTTGGTGATCTGAGAGCATCTCCTTGCAGGGGAGCCAGCAACACCACGTGCTATGGGGTTGTGTGTGTTTGGTTGTGTGCACACGTCGCTTTCAGAGTAGAAAAGCTCTGTGGTGCAGTGTTCATGTGCTGAGGGATGTTCCTTTGTGGCAGCCTCTACCAAGGTATGAGCACTCGCTTCTCAGGTTGTGAGGAGCTCTGTAGGATGTGTGTGCTGGCATGTTGGCATGCCATAGGCAGCAGTGCTGGGCATCTGCATCCCCTGCGTAGGGCTGGCACGGCTGTCCCACTGCTGGGTGTAGAAGTAGCATCACTCTGCCTATAAGAGCAGGAGAGCCTGTAAGGAACGATGGTCAGCCCTATCTGCAGTAAGGTCGCAGCCTACGGACACACGCATGGACACACGGACACACGGACACACGGACACACGGACACGGCTCCGGCCTTTGGGCTCCGGCGGTGCGGGCACAGCGCTCAGCAGCGCCACCTGGTGGCCAGTCCTAAAAGTGCATGAGGCCCGCGGGCTCCGCGGTGCGGCAGAGCTTTCTACGGCCAAGGCAACCGGGAGAAGCATTTGTGTTCGGTGTAAATTGAAGCCTCTCTGCTGAGAGATGGGGGCACGTGTAGGAGAAAGGTGGTTCTATAGGAGGTGGGCTGTTGCATGCAGGGTGCAGGGGAAGGTTGCATGCCCGAGGAATGTGGCACATCCTGTGCTGCCCTGCAGGAGGGGTGGCAGAAGGGTGCTGAGCAGGGATAGAGCTTTTCTGATGCTGACAGGGCCCTGTGCCGATGTGCCAAGGTCTGTGCTGCTGTTGTCGCATTTAATCCAGCCTTTGCCTCGACCTTTGGTGTTTGCCTGAGCTCCAAGCTACTGCGCATCCAGAGTTCATGTGCACGTGGGGATTGAGTAACTGAGGGGAGGGGAGAACAGGGGCAGGATGCAGGGAAATGAGGGGTGAGCCATGGGTGTGGGGGGAATACAGTTCCTGGGGGTTAGAAGGTGTGTGCCCATCACAGAGGAACTGCACGAGGGCTCTCTGTCCCAGGAGTGAATGCATGCGTCTGTTGCAGTAACTGCACCCAAGATTGTCGGTCTCCCATGGAAGCAGAGTGTTGTATGAGTCCCCTGTGCGGTGGAAATGCTAAGTGAAGCCTGAAGCAGTAATTAAGCACCTGGTGAGAGGGCAGGCTAATCCAGGGGAGCACAGGTGCATGCAATGTGCTGACTGATGGAAGGGTTCTAGCCAGGATCCACCCCTTCCCAGCCCTCATTTAAGGGTTGGCAGTGATGGAAGGGGGTCTCACTGAAGATCCCTGCCTACCTGAGGCTTCCTGAAGGTAAACAAGCTTTCTTCTTTCTTTCTGCATCTTTAGTTGCTGCATTTGGGTTTGTCCTCATTTGCTGCAGCCAAAGATTTTGCCACCCCCTTATTATTGCTGTACTTTTCACGTATTATAGTGTTACACCCTGTGTGGTATGAAATGCACTGATATTGCTGTGGGGCAGTAAAAAGAGATTTCTCCTACTTGTGCATCTGGGAACCTCTGCAAAGAATAAGGGGAGAAGAGAGGGTGAAGGCTTAGGTGGCTGCTGCAGAGTGGGGTGAAAAGCATCACCTTGGGGCGCACTCTATCATCTGCCTTGGGCTGGGAAGGCAGAAGGCTGGGTTACAGCATGGGGAGGTTTGGGGAGAGGGGGTGACAGAACAGAGCTGACTAGGCACGGAAAAGCCCTGAACAATGCTCACTGTGCTCTGTTGTTCTCTGTGGCTTGGGCATGAGAGCACAAAGCTGGCAGAGAGGCCTGTTGGGTGGTAACTTGTGGGGTGATTGGTGGGAGTGGGTGGAAATGGGGTGCCAGGATGATCTCTGTACTGTCTGGAGACTGAGAGTGAAGGTGCCACATGCCATTGAAGTTGGCAAATGAGTTTTATTAAAGGTTAGCCTGACTGAAGGCAGGGCAGTCAGGTGTCCAAAGGAAGCACATTGGCTTTTCAGGGGGGAAACAAGCCAGAAATCACAGCTCTTCCCCATCCCCAGCTTCTAAGCCCTCCCATTTCCCCTCCCCTAATGTTCCCTGTGAGTTCAAAGGGCTCAATGTCTGCCTCTGATCTCCAGATGTGCCCCTCTGTGTTAAGTTCTCATGTGGCATCTTCAGGTGAGGTGAAGGAGCTCTCGTCCAGTGCCAAGAAGTCCCAGAATGTCCAGAGGCCGAGGAGCCATGAGGAAGACCTGTGCTGGCTGCACAAGGTAGCAGGTCATGGTATTTTTCTCAGGGAATACAGATGTGCAGGTCACACTGGAGAACACAATGCACGATGCTGTTTGCCTCTCATCTTGATGTGACTTGATCTGTAGGCGTCCATGGCAGCTCATGGAGGAAGAGGGATGGGTGCAGATGGATGGAGACCCAATGGCATGTGATGTTACTGCTGTGCTTACACTGCAATGCTGTTTGTGTGCAGGGCTCCTGTATGGACTCACAGGTGGTGATGGCAATGGGGTGAGTTTGTGTTGCAGCCGAGGTTCGCAGTGTGAAGCGAGGATGGAGAGTGCTGCTCTGGGAGCAGGGATGGAGCTCTTGGAGCTGCTGTCAGTGCACGTGTCCTGCTGAGTGGGCAGTACTCACAGTCATACAGGTTGGAGAGGGCACGTAACTGATGTGGGGCACAAACATGGCATGTGTATTTCCAAGAAGTCTGAATAGCAGCAGCTTTGCGTAGCGTTAAGGTGTCTGTGTGCCATGAAGAGGGTTGGGAATGCTGGGGGAGGGGGGGGGGGGGGGTCCAAGACCCATCCACGAGCAGAGAAGGTCCCAGAGCAGCTCAGATTGAAAAGATGGGCTGTGAATGAGCATCCATGGGTGGTGGCTGTGTGCTGTAGAAGTGGAGGGAACTGTGTGGCATCCTCCTTTCCATGTGCACATCAGCCCCATGTGCACCTCTTGACCCAGGGGAGCGAGGGGTTTGAGATGCTGAGACTTGCTGAGCGATGGGAAGAGATGGGAACTCCTTCTATGGGGGAACATTGTCCGAAAAGGCTCAGGAGGGGTGGGATGAGACAGAGTCTGTTGGGGTTGCAGCCAATCTGAGAACACCTACTTGGTCTTGTCAGTGTCACCGTTGGGACACGCTGAACCATTCTCCCGCAGCTTGCGCATGTAATCGTGGGGGCCTTTGCCCTCAAAGGCAGTGGGGCTCTTGTAGGATCCACCAATCTTGTCCCAGAGGGTGAAGTACTGCCCGTAGTTGTAGTCAAAGTAGAGGTGGTGGTCGGTGTGGTGGGCAGAGCCGTTGATGACGTGCCGCAGCAGCTGGGGGACGCGATAGTCGCCGTCGTGGATGGAGATGGTCCAGACGTTGACGAAGATGTAGAGGCCCAGGTAGGTGACTTTGTGCAGGGGGAAGAGGAAGGGGTAGATGTGGTAGGGCAGGCTCTGCATGAAGCCATCCACGGGGTGGAAGGCATGGCTGGCGAAGGGCGTCGCGATCTTCCAGAGGTGGTGGGGTTTGTGGAAGCGCTGTGGGGAAAGGGTAGGTGCTAGGCCAGAGGTGAGGGGCTGAGGCCCATGGGATAGGAGCCCCTCTCCAGGCCCACCTATTTTGGGATAGCTACCTGTCAGCATCACTGAGGATAGCTGTTGTGTGTGGCTGAGTGACACAGGAAAGTTGGGGTCAGAGAATCTTTGTAGGTTCTAACAGACTACGAGCTCACTTGTCAGTGGGGATGCAGATGAGGAAATGTGACCCATCCCCACCTGCACCCATCCCCACCTGCACCCATCCCCACCTG